GTTCGGCCCCCTCCTCCTTCCCACTGTCTCCTGGGAACTTTCACAGGTCCCAGGAGACTGCCGGACCAATTATGCATACCTGACCACATCCAGGCATGCTCCTAATGAGGCGATGGATGGTGTCCTGGGGTATTTCCTCCCAGATCTGGACCAGGGCATCACTGAGCTCCTGGACAGTTTGAGGTGCAACCTGGCAGCGTCAGGTGGACCAAAACATGATATCCTAGAAGTGTTCTATTGGAGTTAGGTCAGGCGAGCGTAGGGGCAATTTTATCCACCAGGAACTGCCTGCATACTCTCGTCACATGAGGCCGGGCATTGTCATGCACCAGGAGGAACCCAGGACCCACTGCACCAGCCTAGGGTCCGACAATGGGTCCAAGGATTTCATCCTGATACCTAATGGCAGTCATGGTGCCATTGTCTAGCCTGTAGAGGTCTGTGCATCCCTCCATGGATATGCCTCTCCAGACCATCACTGATCCACCACCAAAATGGTCATTCTGAACAATGTAACAGGCAGCGTAACATTCTCCACAGCTTCTGCAGACCCTTTCACGTCTGTCACATGTGCTCAGGGAACCTGCTCTCATCTGTGTAAAGCACAGGGTGCCAGTGGGGGACCTGCCAATTCTGGTGTTCAATGGCAAATGCCAATTGAGCTCTGTGGTGCCAGGAGGTGACCCACAGGGCCCACTACAGGACGTCGGGCCCTCAGGCCTCCCTCATGAAGTCTGTTTCTGATTGGTCAGAGACATTCACACCAGAGGCCTGCTGGAGGTCAATTTGTAGGGCTCTGGCAGTGCTCATCCTGTTCATCCTTGCACAAAGGAGCAGATTCCGGTCCTGCTGATGGGTTAAGGACCTTCTACGGCCCTGTCCAGCTCTCCTAGAGTAACTGCCTGTCTCCTGGCATCTCCTCCATGCTCTTGAGACTGTGCTAGGACATACAGCAAACCTTTCTGGCAATGGCATGTACTGATGTGCCATCCTGGAGGAGATGGATGCTTGTGCAACCCATGTAGGGTCCAGGTATCGCCTCATGCTGCCCGTAGTGACACTGACCCTAGCCAAATGCAAAACTAGTGAAAAACAGTCAAAAAGAGGAGGAGGGAAAAAAATGGCAGTGGCCTCCACCTGGTAAAACCATTCCTGTTTTGGGGGTCATATCATTGTTGCCCATCTAGTACACCTGTTAATTTAACACCAAACTAGCAAACTGATTAACAACCCCCTCTACTATTTAACTGACCAGATCAATGCCCCAGGAGTTTAATTGACTTGATGCTATACTCTGATTAAAAAGCGTTCCTTTACTTTTTTTGAGCAGTATATAATTAAACCTAAATTAAAAAAACAGTTTAAATGCAATTTAATTAGAACAGATATGTTTTTATGTCCTCTCTTATTTCAAAGCATTGTGCTGTTCACAGCGCTGTGTTCTTGGGCTGGCTTTCCGGTCTGAGATAAGTAGTCAGCCCAGCAGGGAACTGTCCTGATGTTGTGGAGCGCATTGAAAGCAACTCACATCACTCAGGGTATTTTCACACCAGCTGCTGTGTTATCACACAGTGGCTTGTACACAGTGCAGTCCAGCTGGATTGGTGCCTTGCACTGTTAATTTATTTACATTTTTTTTTAATTTTAGTGAAATGTCACACAGATATCTCAGAGTTTAATTGGCTGCTGTACAGTGCAAAGCAGTACGCCATTGCAAAAAGTACTGCACAAAATAATTTTCAGTGCACACCACCTCAATGCAGTGGCATGAACCAGGGAGATAAGGAAACAAGGCATTTTGCCTTGCAGTGGGACTGTGCTAGAATGGCCACCTGATGTAGTCCCACCACATCTGACATCATGACATAAGAGGACAACACGTCAGCTCAACAGACTAAAATCTAAAGTTACAACACATTACAATCTTCTATACAACTACGTAGTGCAAGGGCCTGTCTGAATGGTCAGTTTAGGTATGTCCTCTTACTCTGATATCGAATTTACATATATGATAATCTAAAGGGGCTTGTATGTTCTGATTGCAATGTGTATTGTGACCTTAAAAGGTCGCCATACACATTACAATCAACTTTAGATTGTACTATACAATATGAATTAGCTTAAAGCAGAACTTCACTCAAAAGGAAGTTCTACTTTACCGCCTCCTCCTCTACCACCCATGGACATTTTTTTTTTTGGAGTGGGTACCTGGTTTTGACAGGTATCTGATCCCACTTCCAGTTTGATTGCCTCAGTGGATCTACTGGAATTTCTCCTTCCCCCTCTGTGCTCATAACCTTCTGGGACATGTCACAGGTCCCAGAAGCCTGTGGGACCATTCACAAAGTGCAGCTTGCACATGTGCAGTGTTCAGCTAACTGTAAAGCCAAAAGTGTCACAGCCGACTGCCCAGTTAACATGCCGGTGATCAAAAGTCCATTGAAGAACTGCTTTAACTAGTCAATCAAGCCAATCATGCAGACCCTTGTGCTACGCACTTGTTGACAGATCTAACCCCTGGTTCACATATATGCGGCCTTGCTTTGCGTGGGCATGAGAGCCCATTCAATTGAATGGACTCCGAAGCCCCGTGACACTCAGGGAAGAAGCCCCTGCACTTCTGAAAACGTAGCCCGCACCTCGGTTCCCAGTACGGCTGTGTTTTCCAATGCGGGCGGCGTGCCATTAATACTAATGGCCCCTGACCGCGGGTCCGCATTCCTCTGGGTGGGTGGTGCGGCTGCATAGATTTTCATGCAGATCTGCAGTGACACCACCCACACAGATGTGGACCTAGCCTAAAAGGAGACTACACCTGGGTGTAGCAGAAACTAGCGACAAATGTGTTAGAACACACCTGCCAGTGCCATTATTTCTTGATGGCACTCCAAAGATGGGTAGCAGTGGTGGGGTTGCCACACAAACGTCACACGCCACAAAAACACATATGGCTCATGTGGAATATTTGGTACATGAGCTACTTTAGCACACTTTTGGAGTGGCAATAGGCCCATTCAAATAAATGGTGCCACTCCAAAAACAAGCAAAAATCCCACATGGTAAAAACTGCAATGCCACTCAGATATGAATGGGATCTTAGGCCTAGCTCGTGAGAAGACTAATGGTGGCAGGATCACCTTGTCAAAAAAGAAACCTGATGTGGCTTTGTAATGCCACCACTTGACAATGTTGCTTATACTACTTTTTTAAAACACCTTTCAATAAAAACTATTGGAAACGAAAAAAGAAACCTGCAAGAAACAGAAGGGTGCCATTAAATAGGCTACACGCAGTTTAAAGCAGAACTCTTGGCAAAATTTTTATTTCACCATGCAGTGGGGCTGTGCTCCCATTGCACGGGTCAACTGCTTGTTTTTTCTAGGGGCGAGCACAAAGGTCATACTCACCTGATTTGCTGATCTTCCGGAAAACCGTACTCCCCCCTCAGTCCAGGGGTGGACTGTGCCTGACTATGGAGTGGGCTGACATCAGGAACAGTCTATTTACAAGACTGCTGGACCGTGGGGGGCAGGATCAACAGGTCAGGCAAGTATATCTCTGCTGTCCTCCACCTAGAACAGTGATTCTCAACCTGTGTGGGTCGCACGACCCTTTCACAGGGGTCGCCTAAGACCATGGAAAACACATATTTCTGATGTGTAAAGAGCAGCTACTGTGCTGAAAGCAGCAGTATTGGAGGTAAAACGACACTCATGAATTATAATTACTGGGTAAATAATTTTATGGTTGGGGGTCACCACAACATGAGGAACTGTATTAAAGGGTCACGGCATTAGGAAGCTTGAGAACCACTGACCTAGAACAAATGAGCAGTTAACCTGTACAGTGCTGGCATAGCCACACTGCACAGGCAAATTCATTTTTTGCCTGGAGTTCTTCCTTCAATCACCATCAGTTTCTAACACCTTTCAGGACCTTTAGCCCTGGTTCACACTGATGCGGTGTGGAATTTGCAGTGTTTTCTGTGCGAATTCCACACCGCATCACAATCGTACCCCATTCATGCGAACCGATGCGGGTATGTATGTAAAGTTAACAACACTCCGACATCGGTCCGCAAAACATGGTGCGATGCGCAGAATTGGATCGAAAAGGTGTGAATACCCATGTGATCCAATTCTAGTGCGGACCAAAAAAGGGCCCTGCACGGTTTTGGTGCAGTGCGAATAGAGCCATACAAAATGTATGGCTCTAATTGCACCGCATACAAATCGCATGTGATTTGTACAGGAATGCGGTGCAGTTCCTGTGAGAATCACATGGGATTTAGTACACCGCTGTAGTTATCTTCCTCTCAGGACCTCCTGCTCTCTAGCTCCCTTGTAATCTCTTCCCATGCTTGCTTCCAGGACTTCTCCAAAGCTTCTTCCATTCTCTGGAAGTCCTTACCCCATTCTATGTCCTAATGTATGTACTTTTAGCTGCTCCCTGAAAACCCCTCTCTTCAGAGGCCTATGCTGCCCCCACCTAACTGTACTTTGGTTTTCTCCATCAGCTCACCCCCCACATTTATTGTATCACTTGACCCTCCCTTTAGATAGTAAGCTCTAAATGAGCAGCGCCCTCTGTTTCCTCCTGTATTGAATTGTATTACTGTCTGCCCTCATATTGTGAAATGCTGTGTCAACTGTTGGTGCTATATTTATCCTGTATAATAATAATAATCATCATGATGATAATCATCTTCCCACTGCTAAAGTTCCAGCACACCATTACAAGGTAGTCTCACTCTTTAGATTTACACAGTGCGTTACAAAGAATGCAGCAAGAAGAGTGAGACTTCCCAGCAGGCGATCAGAGCAGCTCCTTGGTCGGATGGGGCTCCCAGGAGGGGCAAGATTCCAGCCTAGGGATGAGCAGCCACCTGCCTTCCCACAGACATGGGCACCAGCAGCCCATCTCCTGCCACTCAGTGCCCATCCTCCTCCCAGTACAAGGACAGCCCCGCCCTCTCTCTCCCCCAATGGCTGGCCTCTTACCTGCAGTGAGCCGGGAGGACACCTCTCCGAAGGGAGACGGCTCCATGCGGAGGTATTTCTGTGGGGATGATGCGGAGGGGGAGAGGGGGGCACATCTTCTTCTTTTCGGGGAGGCGGCCGGGCTGAGAAGAGGGTCGAAGTCGATAGTCCTTTTGAGCGTGGCTCCGCAGGCCATGTCCTGAGCACTGGGCCCTGCCCCAGGGACAACACAGCTCCGGTGGGCTTCTCAGTGGGCTCCCCTCCCAGGAACTCCCGGCCTCTGTGCGCTTCCTGCCTCTCCCTCCGTCCTCTGAGCCAATACCGAGGCAGCCGGCTTCACCACAGCGCCTCACACACTGCGGGGGTATCCGTAGGCTCCCGGGCTCTTCTACCGGTGAGGATGGCTCTGGATATCCTCCGCCACTCGCTCTAATCCCGTGTCCGGACCAGCAAACACCGCACTCCCTCCGCTCGCAATATGGCGTTAATAACAACGCCACTGATTCATTCTCGCGTAGACACTCACAGGCGGCACCAAGTGGCTGCTGGGAAATGAAGTCCTCTCCACCTACTCGGCTAGCTATGAAATGCGACCAACAGACTACAAGACCGTCAGGCATTGCGTGAAGGCCGTTACTTCCGTGTTTGAATTTAAATCCCCACTAGTTGTTTTCACACCATTGGGAGGAAGTGGCTGTACAGCCGGTTAGGTTTGTTGCAGATTTGTGTCATAGACTTAGTGCAACAAGGTTTGTTTTTTGTTAAGTTTTGGATAGAGTAGAGAGGGTGTCTGCACCCTGTTAGATATGTATTGCTGTCTGTGCACCCATTATGGAGACTTGTCCCTCTTTGTTTGTCCTGGTGATCATTACCACCAAAAGTGAATTTAAATTAAAAGGAAAATCCAAAATCTCTGATCTATCACCACAAAAGGTAAAGAGGGGAAATCTTCCAGTGAGGATATTAGTGAAGGATTCCCCCATTACCTGTTGTGGATTTGGGACAGGAAGTAAGAGAAAATCTTGCCAATAGGACAAAGATCCACAAAAAAAACAAGTGACCGTTCACATATATGCGGATTGGATGCGCACATGACATGAAAAAAAAAAAAAAAACATTGCTTCCTATAGTGCCTGTTCACATATGTCTGGTGCACTGGCAGTGCAGATTCAGTGCGATTCTAAAGAGTCATGTCCGATTTTTGAGCAGTGCGGTCTGGTTCAGGTGCGGATTACAGGCTATTGACTTCTATGGGAACTGTTTGTAAACCACGTATGTGTGGGCAGGGTAAGGCTGGCCATACATTATACAATTTTCTTCAGATGTTTGGTTTAGATTTACCAAAAACCATATAATAGGAGGTCAAAACTAACAACACTTTCAATTGTATCCAATTAGACAGGCTCTTGCACTACATAGTTGAAGGTAAATCTAAAGGAAATTGGACAGAAAATTGTATAGTGTATGGCCAGCCTAAGATCCTGAGCTAATCCTGTCCTGAACCTGATGTAAACCTGATGTGATCCTGTGAACAACCACTGTATCAATTAGCTGTGAAACCTGAGCTTCAATCTACACCACACATGTGTGAATAAGCTCTACAGCGGAGTTCCACCCAAAAGTTGAAGCTCCGCCTATCTGCCTCCTTCCCACTTCACTGCCACATTTGGCACCTTTTGGGGAAGAAGTGGGTACCTGGTTTTGACAGGAACCCACTCCTGCTTACTTATTATTATACAGGATTTATATATCGCCAACAGTTTGTGCAGCGCTTTACAATATAAGGGAGACAGTACAATTACAATACATTTCAGTACAGAAGGAATAGGAGGGCCCTGCTCATGGAGCTTACAATCTAAAGGAAGGGGGAGGTGATACAAATGGTGATAGCTGTAGGCGATGATATGGTGGAGGTGATTCAAGTACAGTTCTTAGGTGGAGGTGGGGTGGGCTTCCCTGAATAAGTGAGTTTTCAAAGATCGCCTAAAGGCAGACAGGGTGGGGGCTAAGCAGACTTGTGTGATAGGGAGTTCCAGAGGATGGGAGAGGCTCTGGAGAAGTCCTGGAGGTGAGCGTGGGAGCAAGATGTTGTGGGTGGAGAGGAGCAGGTGATTTGGATGATATCTGTGGATGAGGTCGGTGATGTAGCTAGGGCTAGTGTTGTGGGTGGCTTTGTATGTTGTGGTTAGTATTTTGAATTTTATATGTTGGGTTAGTGGAAGCCAATGAAGGGATTGACAGAGAGGGGCAGCAGTCACTGATTGGTTGGTAAGTTGTATGAGTTTGTGTTTAACCTGTGTAATGGTAGACCAGTGAGGAGGGAGTTGCAGTAATCAAGGCGGGATATATCCAAGGTGTGGATAAGTTGTTTTGTGGTGTCGTTGGTTAGAAAGGAATGGATTTTGGAAATGTTGCGGAGGTTGAGGCGGCAGGAACTGAGCACTGCCAGCTCAGTTCGCCGCAGTGAACTAAGCCGGAAGTTCGGAGGGAGGGTTAAAATCCCTACCATGTTTTTTCTCTTATAGCCTCTGTGTCCCATTGTGGAGAACTCCCTTCACTTCTTGTCCCATAGCCAAGACAGGAAGGGAGAGGAAATCCCTCTAAAGTGAGGGAATCCCTGGTTGTCACCAGGGTCACCAGAACTAGTGTCCCCATTGGAAGATTTCCCCTCTATTATTGTTTTATTGACAACTCCACATTTGGGATTTTCTTTTACTTTCACTTTTGATGGTAAACTGGGCAAATAGAGAGGGTGAATCTCCATAAGTGTTCCTTTCACATGGGTGGTCTGGGTCGGGTCTGCATGTCTGTGTTTCAGGTAGGGCTGACTGGACCCTCCATTCTCTTCTATGGGCAGTTGAGTATAAATGGACTTGTATTCGTTTACACCCAGCTATCTCCAATCTAATCCATTCTGTCAAAAACAAACAAAAGGGAATCCATTTCCCTCTGTCTGTCCATATTAATCATAAGGTAGTCAGGTGGAATTGGACTGCCCATAGAGGAGAATGGATTGTGTCTGTGTCTGCTCTGCATAAACGTAGTGAACACGAACCTGTCATCGGACAGATCCCCTGCTATGCAAAACTGGATCTGGCCCATGTGAAAGGGGCCTAACGGGCACACTCAGCAATACCACATTCCATAATATTATTTATTATGCCCTCCTTTAAAAGAATTACATTTACTGATAAGCGGAATGTGCTGAGATTCAAGGCAGGTTTGATGAACATTACTAAGGCCAGGTTCACACTGGTGTACTGCAGTTTGGGTGCAGTGAGATTGTATCTGCGTTTTTCACTCATTTTTTTGGTAACTCGGTATTGGCTTCTATTAGGCCCCGTTCACACCAATTTATTTTTTAGAGATTTTTGCAGAAATGCACTTTAGCCCATTTCACATGGTTTCCTATGGAACATGTTCACACCTATGATTTTTTTGAGCTGCTGCATTTTTGGAAAGGGTCAAGGACTTTTTTAAAAGCAAAAAGAAGCGTTTTTGCTACAATAGAGTTCAATAAAGAAATTGCTAAAATGCATGGTAATATGTTTTTGCCACATTTTGCATTTCTATTCTGCCCAGGAACAAAAAAATTACACTTTAAAAAAAAAAAAAGACGAACAAAACGAGGTAATACACATGTAGAAAAACGCAAAACAAACTGTGAAAAGCACTGAAAAATGGACAGAAAGCAAACTGCATAGGTGTGATCGGAGCCCCAGACTGTGCATTTTGTGAAAGCGCAGCAAAAGCACAGCATTTAGGCATTTGTGGTTTCATGAAAATGCACAGTCTAATAGAAGTCAATGGGAGCACAACTAAAGCTGTGTGTAAAACACACGTAAGTCTCACTGTACCCAAACCTCAGTACACGAGTGTGAACCTGGCCTTACGTGTGGGTACCAAAGCTGAATCCTACTAAAGTCAACAGGAGATGAATGTTAAAGAATAAGTTCACCTTTAGGAACATGTTACATGTTCCACCAGTTTTTAGGGTGGAACGTGTAACATGTTTCTGCTCTTCAGCCACTCCCCGATCCCCACACTCAGGGGTGGACTGACCATTTGGAAACTTGGGCACTGCCCGGGGTCAGTAGGGGGCCCCAAGAGATGCCCCTGGTACCTTTTTCATAGGCTTTTTTGAGTTTGGGCAAGGACACAGGGGCCTCATGATCCCCTATTGCCCGCGGGCCCCATGAGTTGTCAATCCGCCCCTGCCCACACTCCTTGTGATCGCAGGTTGGGGATCTTCTTCCCGTACTTGCTGTGACTATTTGAAAAGAGTACAGCTTCACGGGGTTCTTCCCAAACGGCCACGTCATTCATTAACCTCCCTAGCGGTCTGATTATGTCCATATTTCTGTGCTCAAAATGGTACATTTTTTGCATGGAAATATGTATTTTTTTTTTGTAGGCCTGTAATTTTTAGGAATAACTCACTGAAATCTGTCCCAACAAGAGTCTAGTAAACATCCCGGGTATGATAAAATTTGAAACATGAAATCATAAATTATAATTTAATAATAATCATAAAAAATAATAATATAATAATAAATTTAATTCAATAATATCAAACCAAAAACACTGAAATTTGAAATATAGTGCCAAGTTCGCACATCACTGAGCAAAGTCGCAAAATCGTTTTCAGTGTCTGATGACAAATTTCCCCACGAATCATCACTCAATTCTGCAAGTGTTTCTAATTTACTATCGCTGTTCTCTAGCTGGTCTAAAACCGCTTTTGACCTAAAGGGACGCTTTTTGGACGCCATGGACATTTCTCAGTTTCCAGGCAGAAAGAACGGTAAAAATGCAGGCAGGGCACAGGACAAAGCACTAGGGGATGGAACCCAGAAGACAGATGCCGGCATCCGCCGGAGTACATTGCAGGGGACACTGCAGGAGGGACATCGCGGGAGCGGAGGACAAGGTAAGTGACCGAGGGATCCCGGAGCAGCGCCGCATGGTATTCCCGAGTGTAGCTTGGGGTTACCGCTTTTGGTACTGAAACTTTACCCCGAGCTACACTCGGGAATACCGCCAGGGGGGTTAGCAAAGTTCTGTGAATGGGAAGACTACAAGTGCCAACAGCCTTTTCTGGCACTGTTGAGCGCTGTGGTAGTTCATTATTTCTTCCTGTCAGTGTAAAACTGCCTGCCTGTATGAGGTACGAGCATACAGCTTACACAGACAGTC